CAAGTTACTTCTGGTTTTGCACTTGGTTAAAAGATGAAAGCCTAAATCATGTACAAACTCGTAATTCAAAATTTTAAGTATGTAACACATTTTTCCTGCTAATTATCAAGCAGGGCATTAAGTAAGTAAAAAAATGTGAAGACAACTGGTGAACAGTGCAAGTCAATTTAGTTTTAAATACAATTTGTGTCTGCTAAAAGAAAACCAGTGACTTTCTTCACAGAGATCACACATTTGGTATCATACAAATAGACTGAATCGGTCCAACCAATAAAAGCCTCAGATTTATACAACAGACACAGACTCAGTCAAGCACCTCACGTTACAGTGGTTCTCAGCCCTAAGTCATGCAGAAATATGCCAGTGTCTATATTTAGAGAAGTGGTATTTAGCAGATGCTTACTGTAGGGGAATCTGGAGTCCAGTTTGCAGGGCAAACCTCTCCGTGCGTTTCCACGTACTGGAATGCTTTCACCAGGCGGAGCGTCTCCTCCACGCTGCGACCGACGGGGAGATCGTTGATACTCAGATGCTTGATAATCCCATTTGGATCAATGATGAAGAGACCCCTGTAATTGAGCAAGAATTTAGGGAATGCAAATCCCATTGCAAGATGAAGCACAAGAAACTGGATGAACTGTTTCAGCAAGGCAGTTCTTAGATGGCACGTATCAGAGTTAGGAGGAGCAATGCAGCACTGGATATATGGCTTGTTAGAGCAGTGATCAAAGCCAAGAACCAGTCAACTGGTATGGCATTATGGAGTTATGGAGTATGCATAAAGACTATCAAATCGAGACAGACGTAACGAAGGTAGAACTTCTGATTCCACCTATATTTCAAAATTGATAGCTGACATTGTTCCCATGTCTTTTTGATACGAAAATCTGCAGGTACTGAGTGAAGAGTTGCTTACATATTAAGCTAGTAAATTAAATCCCGCTGCATAGAAACATCTGTGAAAACCAAAGTCCCAGTCTTACCATACTAATTAACTTGTCAACAAACAAATGTCAGAAGTTCCTGATCCAAAGAGATCAGGAAATGAATGTCTCCAGAAGACTCCTACCCAATCCAATGGGTCTCAAGGACCACTATTTGCTTTTAATATGTATTCCTATGGTGGAGAAGGAAATGTCAAGTTGTTTATTGTGGATAATTATGGGATTGACCACAGTGGTCTCGAGGACTACTGCTTTAGAAACTCCTTACACAGAAATTCAAGCAGTCTCTTCTCACTTCAGAAGAAACAAAACCAAAAAAAAAAAAGACAGATCTTTTGTATTGTGAAAAAACGTAAAAAAACTGTAAAGTCCCTGCTATCCTACTCTTGTTTTCCTTAGTGACATGGACGTCTCCCACTAACCCAGAGCAGAACAGCTGGCTTTTCCCTGCATGCCATAATGGCCATGTGCTCTTTTCCTACGGTGTGATCCAGTTCTGCACAAAAAAGTCATACCCTGGTGTCTTCCTTTGACCCCTGTGCAGTTTCCCCTGCTGGAGGGGACAGTACAGCTCACGCTGGTTTAGACTGGGTTGTGTCACAACAGAGTTAACAGGAATTGTGTTACCTTAGCGCTATGCCAGGTCCCTCTAGCAGCACGCCATAATCACGGGAGATTTGTTTAGTGAGGTCTGACAGAACTGGAATATTCATTTTGCCCAAACCGCCGCTCTAGGGAAAAAGAGTAAGGTTCCATTTTGTTACAAAATGCTTTTCAGGATTATCCTTCTTGAGTCACTGGATTCAGTGCAACAAAACACATTTGCTCCATGAAAGGAACCATGGGAGGAGTGTTGTTTATTTGGTTTAGTTTTGGTTTAGGTTGTTTATTTTTTCTCTTAAAGCAGTCAGGAACATTTGGTTTCTTTGGAACCCAAAAACTTCTTTTGCACTGAGCATTTTAAAGTTGCTTATTTTGGTGGTAAATGGCTACCTATGACAACAGTCATAAAACTTCAGAAGGATTTCCCTTGTACCCTCTTCAGGAGCTTTGAGTACAAAGATTTCTACTGCATATTTAAGTGTTCAAAATTAAATGAGATGAACGTGGTGGGGAGGGAAAACAAACCTGCATACTATAAACAGACAAAACACAGGGCTTCTAACAGCCACGCCAGGTATGTCAGAGTTTTGCTGCTCTCTCCATTTAGTGCATGGATTATATTGTTTTCCTCCCCCAAATTAATTTAAATACTATTTGGAGAGTCAACCAAGATTTCTTTCAGTTTTGCAACACACTGGTACTGCAGGAGAGATAAGCTCTCTATCCTTGAAACAAGCCCAGAGTTTGTTAGCTTTTCTATTCCTGGCATCATCAGTGAATCATTGTGCAATCTCAGTCACTCAGACCCTGATCCTACAAATGCTCGTCTGCACCCGAGTTCTCATATGCAGAGCTCTGAATGCAGATGTTGGAGAAAACAAGGCCTGAGCTTCTCCGGGTTTCAGTTTTCTGTCTGCACCACCACAAAATTCTTTCCACCCTCTGCAGGGTGTGCACGCAGCAACACCTGACTGAACAGCTTTCACATAACGCAGTAAAGTCAGACCATAATTACATTTTAGACCTTTAAACAAAGCATGCAAAAAGCAAATACTCTCCATAGGGTCACCCAAGCCGTGTTACATCCAGGAAACTCTCCTCCCTCCCCTGTCTGCACAGCAGTGGTGCACCTGGAGGCACCCCGGCCTGCAAGCACTGCCGCAGAGTGCTGTCCACACAACCAGATGGGTCGTAGCTGATGGATTACACAGAAGCTTGTGCACCTTCCTGCAACACTGTTGATTCTCTACAGCAAACCAAACCAGTGACAGGCTTTATGTGATCAAATGCAGGCATTTTTTGTGTACAGCTGAAAGAGGATCCTCTCCAGTAAAAGGCTGTCTTTATTAATTCCTTTCCCTGACGGAAGCTGAGAGCCTCCATTTGTATTGCTGAAGTAGAACCATTTCAGCTGAGTTAATAATATCAGTGCAATAAACTGGTTGTTCTGCTTCTGCTCCAAAACCACCACCATTAGGTTCTGGTTAACAGTAAGGACTAAACAGCTGCTGTTCATCTTCTGTGAGTGCACACAAACCATCAGCTGTAACAAGCAGCTTAGGACAGCAACCTGTACATGGAGTATTTGTCTTCACGATACATCTATCAGGATTTGATGTAACCGACAGGACTAGCAAGAGAGCAAACCGAAGATTAAAAAAGCCCCAGATTATTAAGGAAAAGATCAAGAAAAAGATTGAGATCAGAATTATGTCTGCAAATGTAGAAGTTAATTCCTTAATATATCACTACAGTCTAATTATTGAAATCGGTGTTTGCACAATTGTTTACTTAACTCGTCTTCTCAGGAGGTCTTGTGAAAAGGAAACATGCCAGTAGAGAAAGCCCCAAACAGCTGCCCAATTCATACCTTTCGTGGTGTATTTATCCAGGCCAGATGACAAAAATGAGAATCCACAGAAACTGCCACCACATCACAGTTCACATCACGAAATTCATTTGCTTTGTTGCTGAAAGCCACAATTTCTGTCGGGCAGACAAAGGTGCTGGGTGGGAAGAGAAAACAGGCTGTAATGATTCTCCAATCTTTTTGGAGAGTTCTTTTAGAAGAGAAACTCTCACTTCTGTTTCTAGGCCTTAACGCAGCCACGTGTTTTCTTTAGCCTGGTAATTCTGACCACGTTTCCTCCTTGCAATTAGCTTCAGCCAGTCTCAAAGCAACAGCCACAGCCCCCTAGCTGGCACACCAGCTTTCAACTCTCAGTTTGAGATATTTTTTGCTGAGATGGAGAAACTGTCTTTGCAAGACACTCTCTAGACAGAGAGGTTTTGAAAACTGTAACAGGAAGGTTAAATTCTCCTCCATGTGCCCAGAATGCTCCTGATAATTCAAGTCTTCTGGACAGGCTGAGCCCTGTCTGTTCACCCTTTGCTCTGGAGCCATCCACCTGCAGTTCTGCTGCTTAAAAGGAGTCTCCAACACGACCCTGAACTGCAAAGCAATGCCCTCATCTCTGGGATCTGACTGTGAGAGGAACCACACTTGCAAGGCCATGTCTACCTCCCAAAGCAGTCCGGCCAGCTGGAAGATGCTCTCCAGCCACCAGATCCACTGCTTTAGCACACAATGGCCATCTGCCCCCAAGTCTTATCACTCACGCTCTATAAACGGACACCCCTGCCTTGCATGACTGGCCTGGATAAGGTAAAATCAGCCGCTTGAGACAGCAATGATCTGCAGCAGCGCTTCCGATGACCTTCAGCAAGGCAGGAGGCCCATCTGGAAGGAGATAAACCCACACTCACAAGTCCAGGGGGTAAAAGAAGAGGACCAGATATTTCCCCTTGAAATCATCCAGGCTTAGCTCCTTGAACTCTCCGTTAACAACAGCCGTGCCTTTGAAAAACGGGGCGTGTTGTGTAACCGCTGGAGCGAACCGCGCCGAGCCTGCGAGGGAGAAACC